ATAAACATTTAAAAGAATAGAAGACTTCCATATTTTTCTTGCCTACAAAATTAAATTATGGTATGTACCAAAGACTCACCATCAATCTGGATACTTTTCTCCTTCATTCACATTCCCTAATGGAGGCTTAGAATCATTATCCGACTCACCCTCAAACTCTATTTCCCCATTATCTTTTAAAACTATAACTCTTCTATTTTGAGATTGTCGAGCAACATGACATATTTCCATGCATCTAAAACATCCAATATCTTTATTTGTATTATATTAGGAATAAAACTTACCTCTCTCACAACTAGAGGTCAACTTCTTTCCTCTAAAAACTTTGGCCTTGGGCTTGTAATTAGTCGTCTCCTTTTTACCCGTAAAGGTCTCGACTTTAGGCTTATAATCAACCATCTCCTCTTTGTTCTTCTAGCTTACTTTCAATATAAGGGTAGTGTTTAAGGATTGTCTAGACCAAAAAAGACTCCTCTTTTTTATTTTCCTTTCTATTTTTATGGCCATATTCACCAAATCATCTAAGTCCATATGGTACCGCAACTCCACTATGTTAGCAACATCTCTATTCAAACCCTATAGAAACTAAGTCATAGTGGTCTCTCTATCCTCATCCATATTGGCTTTGATCATGGTAACCTTCATCTCCTTATGGTAATCCTCCACACTCTTTGAGCCTTGAGTAAGCCCTTTATAGTTTCTAATAGATATCCCTATAGTAATGACTCGGGATAATCCTCCTCATAATAAAATTCATCTCTTCCCAACTATCAATTGACCTCTCATGGTTCCTCCTCCTAGTCAATACCAACTAATCCCACCAAATGATAGCATAATTAATGAATTCAATGCAATAACTTTCACTTTTTTCTTCTCGAATAGTTATGACAATCAAAGAGTAATTCTACTTTCTTCTCCTACTCTAAATATGTTAGTGTAAGTGCCCAAGATTCAACCACGTATTGATGGGGCTTGAGTCAATGTATCATTACATTATTTATTTTGATAATAATAAAGAAGTCATTTTATTAATTCTTATATTTACATGTTGATAAATTTAGTAGAATTAAATAAAAGTCCTTATGATATACATTTGCAATAGTGATTGATCGAAAGATATGAGACAAACACTAATGCACATAAATGATATCATTAAATGTCTCAAGTTGTAACATTGTCAAAAATGGACATTGACAATATACGATAGACTTGTGAGTGTTATACTCGTGCTATATGATAGCGATGAAGAGATCTCACACCTATTGCCATGGTGATGCCAAATGAAGCACTTAGGTGATTGATGTTAGAGAAAATATCACTAGACTTGACTTATCATGAGAACCCATTCGGTTTAGTCTATGGGAATCTCATACGAGATAGGTACAAATAGTCCTTAGACTTGAAGTCATCATAGTTGTCTCATTGGAGGACTTATGCACTTTGACACTTGTTTCGATGGACCTATTAATAGGTTGCATGTGGGCGATTCGTTGGGTGCACTAAGAATCTAATGGAGATAGGTGTACAACTAAGATAGGACATGTCATTCCTTGTATGCTAAAGGAGTTATCACATTGCACTTCGATAAATGTCTACTCAATAAATCTATGACCATAGTAGGAGTACACTAATAGAGTATACCAATAGAGCATAGTTGGTCTACTCTAAGAGCTAAGATATTTGGAAATCAAAGAAAACTTGTGTAATTATAATCGAACAAGACTAACAACCAAGTTCGAGATCACACTCGTAATAAGTTGACATGAGGATTGAATTGTATGGTAACCATGCTCGTGAAAGATAATAATGGATTAACTAATCCTCTTAGAGAATTGAGCGATCATGATGCCTTGCTAAAGGTCAATTTTGATCTAAGTATCAAGAGATAAAATAGGACTCTTTTATTCTTTATATATTGCCAACATATCTAGGAGCCTATTAAATCACACGCATAAGTTTAAGTATTTACATTATAATAAGAAGTAAAGATATTGGAAAATATTTTCAATTATAAAAGTTTTCTATTTTGGAAAGAGTTTCCAAAAATAAAAGTTTCCTAAAATGAAAATTTTTCTATTTTATAAATCAGTTTCCTAATTTAAAAATTAGTTTCAAATTTGAAAATAAAGAACCTATAAGGAAAAGAGTTTTCTAATTTAGGTTAAAGGGTAGTTTAAAAAATTATTTTCTAATATGGACCCTACCAAAACGATCTAAGAATATTTATTTGGATAGTCCAAAAAATGAATTGGGCTAAAATAGTTTTGGCTCATTAGATTTTTTAAAAAGCCTTAAGATATTTTAGTAGGAGGATAAACATCAACCTTATTAGATAAGGTTGAATGTTTTAAAGATAATAATCAAATAATTCGGATATAAAATAATTCTTTAACTTTGGAGGAAAAAAAAGCGATAACCTAGAGTCCTAAAAGGTCTTGTGGTCGCCTCTTCTCCTTATCCTTGGAGGACAAGGAAACTCTCCCCTTATAAATAGGAGGAGAGGTGTGGCATAAAGGGGTTGAAAGAGAGAGAGGATATTCGGCCAAGCATAAAAAGAGAAAGAAGTGAGAGATTTTCGGCCAACCCTAAAATTACCAAGGGCACATGGCCAAGAGAGAAAATATAAGAGAAAATAATTTTCTCCTAAACCTTAAAAAGGTCATACACTTTTACCCCTTTTAAGGTTATTGTAAAATTGCTCGGGATTGATTTATAGAGGAAATACTAAATCGGAAAAGGTGGAGCTAGCACCCCACCGATTTTGAGTACTTCTTTATGGATACTTAGACTGCATGGATCATTGATAGAGGTCGGGCACTTGAACATCTTTTCCGAAAAAGAAATTTAGATCTGCATTATAAGAGGTAATCCTTTACTTATAACTTATTATTTATGTGTGTATAGTTAGTAGATTCAACGGCTTGATCTTGGAGCCTTAGATAGAGAATTTTTTTTACTTATTCTACACCTCCATAAAGTGCATAATCCTTCAAAATACACATTCGGATCATTCTTCCTCTAAAAAAATAGAATACACTTTTTTATACTCCCTAATTTATGTTTAGACCACCTCTATTATGTTAGAATCTACCAAAATTATGTTGATCAATGTAATCGGCATCATTCACCTCTCCTTTATCCCCTTAATCTTGGCCTATTGCCCCTACTACATTAGGATGTCCACATCTTCGCAACTCATTTACTTAAGCTTCATGTCCATCAATTCTATCCCTTATATGATGCCTCTTTATTAGCTTACAAATTTGTTATAAGGCACGAAATTGGAATGACCCAACTTGACCACCTTCTTCCATTGGTTCTTCACCTTTTGACATGATATAATTTGCACAAAGATGTTATAAATACTCATAAGCACTTCTTCATAAGTTTCATTTGAATCGATGACATCCAACCTTCATGTTTAATCTCTTTATGACTTTTTCTCAAAATGAGGTTACTCTTTCTTGCCTTTTACCTCTCAAATTCACTTATTTTAGTTCTTTCTAGAACTAACCAAACCAACCAAGAATTCATAAGTTTAAGTGGCAAAAAAAAATGATCGAATCAACTTCACTTTCATAGGAAATAAGATTTTGGATAAATTAAGCAAAACCGAAACAAATTCAAATGATTGACAAATGAATACTTACGTAAATATTTTGAACTAAAAAAATGACAAACTAACTCAACTACACAATTGTTTGTTTCGATTTAAAGTTTGACATTAGGATTGATTCGAACAAATTTTAACAAAGAAGGCGGAATCTAATTATCTTTGAATGAATCTAATCACAATCACTTTAGCACACAAATCAAACGTTTGTAGCTACTATTTTGAGCAAAAAAACTTATTCTTCTCTCTCTCTCTCTCTCTCTCTTTTTGATGTTTGTACTTGATCTAAACAAAACTAACCTAATTCTTTTTCTTTTCTTACATGAATTTCATATACATATATGGATGCAACTCATTAGCTAAAATAACAAACAAGAATGGACAAACAAAGATTCAAAATTGGATGAAACTAAAATATAATGGAAAAAAATCGAATTCAACAAGGATAAGAAATAAAACAAAAGATGGTGATAGTGTAACCTAATTTAGACTCAAGCTCGATACCAACCGATATGAACCCCCTAGGTTGATGGCTAGAGAACTCATGTACAAGATGACTCAAACTCGAGGAAAGCTAAATCGGTTTTGAAGAATAGTATTAAATGCCACTTTTCAAAATACGTAGAAGGGGGAGTGATAAATCTATATGAACGCTATAGAGAATTTTCCTCACAAATAACTCAATTTGATTAAGGTTTGATTGATTGAATATTCTAAATGTTTTTACAAAATAAGAATAATGTTGTTGCTATAGTCCGAAACAAACAAGGAGCAAAAGCTTAACATAGGATCCAGCAAAACAATAATACCAGAATTAAGGTTAATCTTCTCAAATTTGGTAATTAACTTAGAAAACTACAAACATAATTAAAGTCCAAAAACTAAAGCACCAACCATGAAGTTGTATAATTAATTCGGCCAGTAACTTCACTCAATCAATAGCATCTTGTCTTAACACAAATAAGATGGATCAGTCTCGGCCCAAAAAATCCAAGTGTGGATAATGCTCACCAGACCCATTTGTGTGTTGTTCGATCCATTCAAGGATTGAGCAGCCCATTTGTCTTTAACTAGCCTATTGATAGCCTCTTTAATCTTTTTATCTCTAGACCATGTAATTAGGCCTCCTTGGATACCAATGGGTCAGCTGCCCCTTCGTCCAGCACACGGTTAGCATCTTGGTCTCGTCAACTTCTAATCGAGCCTACTTGGATGCCAATGGTCAGTAGCCCTTGGTCAAGCCCATGGTGAGCAACTTGGTTCTCATCAACTTCCCAAAAGAATTCTTTACTTGAAGAAACAGTTCTCACATACGCCAGGAGAATGTGACCAACAAAGTCGAAAAAAAGACGAGAATCCACTATGCAAACTTTAATGATGGCAACTTTTACAATGAGCATGTTTCTTTTGAAAGCTCAAACCCACGAGCCAATGCTATCATACGACTAGGAAACCTTAAACGTAGGTATAGAAACATAAGAGAAGGTGTTTCAAGATAAAATGGTGCTCCAAGCATTCCATCATGCATGGTTTGGACTTTCAACGAACTCATCATGCTGTTTATACATAAGAAAACATTAGCCTCCAAGATTGCTAAAAAAAAAGAAGGAAAAAGGCGGCAATGCACATAGACAGGTAAACCAAAAATGAAAGTTGAAAGGGAGACAATATTTTAGTGAGGACCGCACCAATTTTTCAAACAACATAATGATTACATTGCAGATAATCAGACTGTTTATAGGGCAAATATTATCACTAAAACTGATTGCAATATTTCAATCAGATAGCCACAAAGTGAATACTTCTTCAGGGCAACTTAAACACCACTGAATAACATAACTAAGGGATTTCTTGTTTAGAACACTCTCATAAAACCAGATTACTGAATCAGATAAGCCCTTCTTTGTTATGATTTAAATACACAAAAATTACTCAATAAAAAGTTATCGGAATCGAGAAATCTAATGATAATAGAAATAGAAATAGTACCAGTTGTGCGAATCTGAAGTATTTTCAACCTTAGATGAAGTTCTATTTTCTGTATATCCTCTACCATCCAAATATTGAACACTCTTTGATGCCTGAAAAAAGAAAGAATAATAGAAGGACAAAGACATGGTATTTACAAATGATTCCATATAAATGCATTTTAAAAGAAATTAAGGCGAAGCCATAAACCTCAAGAAAATACTATAAAAAAAAAAAAAGACTGGGAAAAACATTAAAAATTGCTCTCTCATCTCATCTCATCCTTCTTGAGAAGGGGGTTCCTCATCAAACCATCGCGGAGGATCAAAGCCAGACCCACCTACAATGGTAAATAATTTGATCTCAATTTTCAAAATTAAATCAAAACCAAAAGTTAACACACACACACACACACACACACACACAAAAAACATTACCAAGTGGATTACAGCGACAGACACGCCAGGCAGTCAAGACGGTGCCTTTGACGACACCGTATTTCTTGTAAGCTTCCATGGAATATTCACTACATGTTGGCACATATCTACAACTATTTGGTAACAGCGGCGATATCTCCCCTGCTTTAAATGGAATGTGTTTTTTGGTAGTTAAGAATTAGTAAAAGGACAAGTAATTAAAGGAAAATTAAAGAGAGAGAGTAATAATTTCTACTTACTTTTGTAGAATCTGAGCATGGATAACGCAGCTTCAACTCCTAAACTCTTTTTAACTTGGTCCTCCTCGTCTGATTGAGATCAATCATTTTAATTTATTTTTAAAAAAGGATTAATTAGAGAGAGAAATGAAGTGTACCTTGTAGTTGTTGCTGATTGTTTTGGTCCGACTCTGATTCTAATTTATTCACAGTCTGGCTGCGGTGCCTTGTACTTGCTCTTCTCATTGAAATGCTTGTCCGCCGTTTTCCAATTTTGAAACCAGCGGCGTTCATGGTGGTTATGGAAACAGCAGCAGCAGCAACAACAACCATCTTTCCCCTTACCTTCGTGTGGCTACGCTCAGCTCAACTGGTTGTGGTTGAGAGGTTGACCCAAACCAGATGGATATGGATAGATGATGCGCCAGGCAACTGCAACGTTTCGACTTACCAATTCCAACGGGTTCATTTAAATACGACACCGCTTTTAATCACCCGTGGTTAGGGGTGAGCATTCAATTAAACGGTTCGATTTTGTACAATTCGGTTCGGTTTTTGGTTAACCGAATTTAAAAAATAAAAACCAAAACCAAACCGAAATAAATTCGGTAAATTCGGTTTGTAACCGAATTATTTCGGTTTGGTTTCGAAATATTTCGGTTTTAACCAAAATATTTTGCTATAAAAAAAAAATCATTACGAGAGAGATGTTTTGTACTAGCACTTAGTCCACTAGCCAATGAAGTAACATCTTGTTATCAATTAATCCTTTTTATAAACAATCACAAAGCCCTTGAAGATTTTAACTACGTTTTAATGAAAACGAGTCCAAGTGTAATAAATTTGGTCATTCAAACACACTGTATCCTAATTAATTACACTCTGTCACTTTCTTTTCTTATCCTAACGGTCCTCAAAATTTACTTTTCATCTGCATGTTTTAGTTTCAACAAGAATGAAGATTGAAAAGTTAGGGATTTAGAAATTAAGAAATTTTTTACTTTTTATTTCGGTTTTCGATTGAAACCGAAAATTTTTTTCTAAAAACCAAACCGAACCGAAATAATTTCGGTTTTTTGGTTCGGTTTTATATTGTATAATTTTACATTTAAAACCGAACCAAATTTCATAATTCGATTCGATTTTATTCGATTTTCGGTTAATCGAACCGTTTGCTCACCTCTACCCGTTGCCCCAACGCATTTTAATTAGCACGGTAGTAATAAATCTCATCATCATTGTTAATGAATCGTAGATTTACTCGTCTAGTAAAATTAAAGAAAACTTGACTTGCGTAGGCGAGTGATAATAGTTGGATGGTTAGTGAGAATGGTGTATGTTTTCTTTGCACTCAATATCTCTAAAACAAATCCTCTAGTTGGATGATAAATTTTGTGATGATTAAGTTAATAGTGAGAAAATGGTGAATTGGTCCGAAAAAAAAATCTTTTAGAAATAATATTTACTTGTTTATGAATAAATTTGCATATGAGAAAAAATTATACAAGATATAGAAATTGTTTTGAAATAATTTTTTAAGAAGGGATTGGAACCCTTTTTCTTTGTAACGGTTTGCACCTTTATATAATCAACCATAAGTGCAACTTGCATGGTAGAAATGACATAAACTCTCTTTTCCTTAAGCACTAGTGGATGAGTTGATAAGTATCAATGCTTTATTATCATTGTATTTGATCTGCGATGATGTTAATGCTCAACATAATGAGTGCTAATCTAATTGTTGTCATCATTCGAGAAACCTTATTAAATGTTTTGTCCCTCTTGCTCGTTAGTAGAGGTGATTGGTTTCTTCCTTATTTGAGTTAGGGCATTTTAAGATAAAAGAATTTCTAAGCTTTCCCTGGAAAGTAGGCCACATTTTAAAGGGTAGTCGTTCATTTGGGACTATAGGCTTACGTGTCTTGGCATTGTCTTATGTTGCGACTTGTGGGCCTAAGTTAGGCTTGGTAGATTTGAACTTGTGTGTTCATAGACCCTTTCTATTCGGTTGTTCTTGAACGAACCCGATGAGTCTCGTTTCCATCATTATTCCCCTCCCTTCTAGTCTTAGCTAGTTTGCTTAGCCTAGACTTGAAAACTGTTGGTTGAGGCATTTCATATGGCATTTTTCTTTGTGGATGGAGATTTTTAGTGTTCTTCCTTTTGGTCTTGCTTGGCCTAGATTGGTTAATAGTCTTTTCCTACGAATTTTAGAGCTTTAATTTTAGTAGTTTTGAGTAAGGGAAGAGTAATATTTGTGATGGGTGCCTCTACTTGCCATGAAAGGCTACATCTCATGTATTTTCTAGAAAAGTAATGATTAATCAAATTAAAAATCTTGTGAGCCTAGTTTATTGCCCTATTCTACTATGCCACGTCGGTGTGAGATTGTCTTTTGGGTCTAACGCATTATGATTGAAGGATCATGCATTCTATGGAGGTGCAAAATAAAATAAAAAAATTTTCTATGTCTAATGCTTCCAAGATTAAGCCATTGAATCATCTAATTAGACGTACATGAATAAATAATTAAAATAAGTGTTTGTCCCTTGTAATGTAAAAAATATCTATGCAATAAGATGTAATCCAAGTGTCTAGCCTCTATTGATGATCTACACAACTCAAACACTCGTAAGAGAAGCTATAGAAATCATATAGTGCTAAGTCTAATCCTTCATGTAGTTAATTTATTCTCTTAAAAAATCGGTTAGGGGTTTTTGCAACGACCACTAAAGAAAGGTATGTGTGGCAACTCGGGTTTTTTTTAAGAGAAAATGTTAATCTCCTTTTCTTTTTCTTATTGTTGTATGTTTGTTTTGCATTAACCTTTCTTACTACCTCTCTCTCTTCATTTATATAAGAGAGGCAACATCCTTGTCCATTAAGGATAAAAAGTTACAATATGTGTGGACTTGTTTGATCTTATCCTTGTAAACCCAAAGCCTTATCTAATAGTGCTTAAGTTTATCCTTCCATCAAAATAACTTGCAAACTTTTAAATTAAGCCTATTGGCCCAAACTCTTTTGGCCTAATTAAATACCAATTAATTTAGACAATCAAAATAAATTAGGTCGGATATTTTTTTAAGGAAGCTCATATTAGGAAATAATTTCCAAATTACCCTTAAAACTAAATTAGGAAATTAATTTTTATTTTAAGTAATCGACTTTTAAATTAGAAAATTGATTTCTAAAATTAGAAACTTTCCATTTTAGAAATTTTTTTTTAGAATAAGAAACTTTCCATTTTCAAAAACCTTTCCCAAAATGAAAAACTTCTAAAAGCTGAAATCCTTTTTCAAAATCTTTACTTCTCTTTTATTATATGAATGTTTAAGCTTATAGGTATGACTCGATAGACTCCTAGATATATCATCGATATATCAAGAATAAAAGACACCTCTTTTATCTCTCGATTCATAAATCAAGATTGGCCTTTAGCAAGGCATAATGACTACCTAATTCTCTAGAAACATTAATTAATCCGTAATTACTTTTCACGAGCATGGTTATTATATAATTCAGTCCTCAAATCAATTTATAACAATGTTATCTCAAACTTTGTATAAAGTCTATTCGATTATGATCACATAAGTTTTTTTCGATTTTCAAATGTCTTAGATCTAAAATAAACCAACTATACTCTATTGGTATACTCGCTACTATGGCCATAGATTTTTTTAGTAGACATTCATTGAAGTGCAATATGATAACTTGTTTAGCATATAAGGAATGACATTAAGGATCATGTATTTTATGGAGGAATGGAACAAAACAAAAAATTTTCCTCTAACTAAAGGACCCAAGATCAACTCCGTAGAATCTATTAACCACTCATGCTCGAATTAAAGCATTAAATAAAGGATTATCTCTTATAACGTAGATATAAATTCTTTAACGAAAAGAGCCATCCTAGTGTTCGGTTTCTATTGAAGATTCACACAATCCAAGCGCCCATAAAGAAACACTCAAAATTGGTAGAGTGCTAACTCTATCTTTTTTGATCCGTAATGTTTCTCATAAAAATCTAATCCAGGAAATTTTGAACACAATCTTAAAGTAAAAAGAAAAGTGGCGTCTATTAGGGTTTTAGGAGAAAAGTATTTTCTCTTTTTTGTTTTCTTTATGCCATGTACCCCTAAAGAATTTTCTATTTTGGCCAAATGCTCTCTTCCTTAAATTTTCTTCTTAGTTACCATATCTCTCTCCTCCTATTTATAGGGAGAGAGTTTTATAGAGAAAGAGTTTCCTTGTCCTCCTAGATTAAGGATGGTTATCAATTTGTCCTAAATAGGACTTATGGTTATTGCTTCCTAATCCTCTAAGGATTAGGAGTAATTTTGCATGTAGGCTTTTGATCTTTATCTTTAAAGCTTCATCCTTATCCAATAAGGTTCATATTTATCTTTCCACCAAAATATCTTCAAGCTTTAATTGAACTCTGTTGGAGTAAAACATTTTGGCCAAACTAATTAATTTGGACTATCCAAATAAATAAACTTAGATCATTATAAGTAGCCCACATTAGGAAATAATTTTTTAAAATACCCTTTAACCTAAATTAGAAAACTAATTTCCATTTTAATTTATTTACTTTCAAATTTAGAACTAACCGATTTCTAAAATAAGAAACTTTTCATTTTAGGAAACTTTTTATTTTTGAAAACTCTTTCTAAAATAAGAAACTTTTAAAATTGAAAACTTTTTCTAATATTTTTACTTCTCTTTAATCATGTGAATGCATAAAGTTATTTGTGTGACTCAATAGGCTCTTAGATATGTTGGCAATATGTCAAGAACAAAAGATACCTCTTTTATCTCTAGATACATAAGTCAAGATTGGTTTTTAGTAAGACATCATGACTATCTAATTCTCTAGAAGGATTAATTAATCCATTAAAACCTTTCACGAGCATGGTTACCATACAATTCAGTTCTCATGTCAACTTATCACAATGTGTCCTCGAGCTTGATTATAAATCTAGTTCAATTATGATCACATAAGTTTTCTTTAATTTTCAAATGTCTTAGCTCTTAGAGTAAAACAACAATGCTTTATTGGTATACTCCTACTATAGCTAAAGATTTCTTGAGCGAGATATTCCTCGAAGTGTCATGTGATAACTTCTTTAGCATACAAGGAATGACATGTCCTATCTTAGTCTTCCTTCTACCTCCGTTAGATTTCTAGTGCACCCAACGAATTACCCACATGTAATCCTTTACTTGGATCAATCGAAATGATTGTCAAAGGGCATAAATCCTCTAATGAGATAATCGTGATGACTTCAAGTCTAAAAACCAATTTTACCCATCTCATATGAGATTTTCAT